CCCTACAAGCTGAATACTTACAAAAATGTGAAGGATGAAACATTTCTTCGCTGGGATGCTGATGGTGGGTAGTTCCCTACATCCTCACACCACCAAATAACACTACCTCCGTGGCTACAGAGAATTTTACAGTGCACCTTTAGGTGGAAACCTTTCACACCTGCTAAATGAAGGGTGTGCTGCACTGTCTGTATGCTACTGCTGGCTAAGCTCCTGATTTTACAGTAGGAAGAAAGCCAGAGAGTACCTTGTGCTGTAATATTATGTATTCAAGTAATACAGATATGAAATAACAGCTCTCAAAGTACACAGATGTGAGTGAAGCCATTGCTTTTCTTTTAGAACTAGCTCAAGTGGGAATCTTCCCTTTCCTTTACTCCTCTATGCATAGTCCAGATAAGCTGAGCATGTTAGTCTGGAAGTCAGAAGTAGCTCAATGCTGAAAACACTAACGATAGCAGCACAAAGACATAGTAAAAGCTAGTTGGTCCTGAGACTGAATAAGCAGAATACACAAGAGTATTTTTTTCTTACATGTTTACTTTTAAGAATAAAATTTTAAACCCATAGACCCTGTATTTTGGGAGGAGAGAATTTCAATGTTAGCTTTTCTCTTAGCTCACTAAACTTTGATTTGAAATGTGGAAAAATTGCAAGAAGTTGAATTCTGCCAGTTTATTTGAATATAAACATTGAGCCCATTCCCAAGCCTGTTTAAACTGTGCTCACTCCAATACCATAGCAGCAAAACCTACAGCTCTCTACCACAATTAACTGGACAATCGGTGATTCTATGCTTTTGGCTACAACTCAGAATGTCATTTTCTTTTATGCATAGGTGTAGTAAGAGTTATTCACCTGCTCTCAGACTGCAGGACAGATCAAAACCACCTCCTGAAATGGTAATGCACAGATCTGTCTCCTCACTGCAGCTGTGATACCTTAAGAGGAGTAGTACTGTTAAAATCTAAGAAAAAAGGACCCTCTTGTTGAGGCAGGAATGTGGTGGGGATAATGTTGTAAACTCCAGCAAATATGTTCTCCACTTCCAAGTAGCAAAATCCACACCTATAATAAAAGAAAGCACCTGTTAGGACTGATGTACTCTTCAGACCTCTAAGACTTCATTAAAGGAGCTACTACCTGTAGTCACCACTGCTCTTTTTCTGAAAGC